TTTTTTTTTAAGCAACAAACTCACTGAAAAAGTCAATGAGTCTGGGAAAAACTGAGACATAAGGTGGACATTAGACATTTCTTAGGACATCTCGGGCTGTTCAACACTGATTTTGACAACAGGAACTACTGGAAAAAATAAAAACAAAAATTTCAGATCTAATTAGGAATGTGTTTACAGCCTATTTAAATGAGTTTTGCTCCTGACCTAAAAACAAACAAACTTTGCATTAACTGGTCACATTCATGGCCTTTAAAAAGTTGTTGGAGAAGACAAACTGAACTGAAATGTCACAGCAGCACATAATGCATACACAGCAGGTTTCATGAGTTAATGAAATGTGTTCATTTATTTATTTTTTGTGTGTCTTTACAGGTTACCCATCTCTGCGCATAGAGAAGAATGACCTGAGGAGTGTGACTCTGATGGAGGCCAAAGCTAAAGTTAAAGATATTGCAATCTCAAGGGAGCGAGTCACACTACGAGACGTCTTACATGAAGGTATTTCCCTTCCCAGTATTTTAGGCCTATGCCCTGGTGTTTTGCTTTTTAGCGACATTTCCAGGGAGACTCGAGTGATTTGCGTGATCTAGTCTGTATACGCATGAAATGAAACAGATTTTAAGGAGCTGCAGTCATGAATAATCTTGTTATGCTTCGTCCAGCATCGTTTGATAATTTAACTTTTCAGCATGCACGTTTTTGTCATGTTCTGAGTTTTCTATTTAAAGAACATAAACAGAGAGAAAAAGGAAAAGACTAAATGTTAAAAAATAAATAAAATAAATGAGATTGCTTTAACAGACTGAGTTGAGATTTAAGCTTAAATTACAAATTACATGGTGCTAGCATAACCTAAAGGGAGAAGTGCTAGTAAAACACAATAATTAGGCTTTTATTTGTAATTGGAATTGCTCCTTAATTTTAATAAATAATGTTTCTGCAAAAACCCCATGCTTTCACTTTTAGTATTTGAACATTTCTAGTTGAAATATGTCTGGTTCTAAAGGCCTTAGAAATAGTTTATCTGCTGTTGGCAGTGAAGTTGTTTGAAGAGATTTTGTGTGGTTGAAGCCTGCCAGGATACATCAGCACACCTTTAGAAACCAATGGGATTGTAGCAACAGTAGTTAGGAATATTCCTGCCACTATCGGGAATAGTCAGGAAGCTTGTTACAAAAATGGACTTGGATGAATTTTAACTACCCATCTGTGTATTTCCTGCTGCTCAGCTGAATCTGAAAGGTGATATTAACACTTGTTATTGTTTTTAAAGTAGATTTCTCTAAACACGAATAAAATAATGAATTAGAAACGTGTAGATAAACAGAAGCCAAAACACATGTTTCACAGACACAGATAGTCACACCTCACACTAATAGATTATTTAGCAAACTGACTTTGAGGCCTAGCAGACACTAATTGGCTTCAGCTGCCTGTGTTGTGAAATCATGCCCTCAGTGTGAGATTTAAATCAGCACTGTAACACTTCGGAAACCCTACACCGTATCTTACGCCCTAACCCGACTTACACCTCCACAGAAGTGTAACTATGTAACATGTTGAGGCAGCCTGCAGCGACTGCCAGCTGGAGGAGAGTGGATCAACTTCAGTTAGTGTTTTGGTGCTGTAGGCACATCGTGTACAAGAGTGAATACTGGCAGTGATGTTGGCCACTTGCGTAAGGTCAGCACTCATCAGCTTGTTTATTTCTCCTGTAAAGTGAGATCTTTGGGTCCATGGGCACTGACGACATGGTAAAAATGAGGTAAAATACACAATTTGTATATAAATATAATTTGTGGCAAAATTGAAAATTCAGTGATATAATTGAAGGATGTTTTTATTAATAAAAGCAACATTAAAAACATAGTGAACTGAGTTGGGACAAACGAGTTTGTGAGTCTGTCAGCGGCAACTTAAACTCCTTTGATGAGGAATGTAAAGGATCACCCAGGATGGGTTTGGCCTTCTTTAAAGTCCTAACCTTGCACAGGTGAGGAAGGTCATGCAGGGTCACACCTGCTGTTTTGCTGCATACTGTAACTCTACCTTGCAGGCATAGAAGTCATAAAAGAATGTAAAAAGATCTTTAAATTAACCACCAAAATTATACAAAATCCTGCTCTGGCGTATGAGTTTCTAACAGAGAGCCTTAGACACTGAATTTTCTCAATCTTTTTCTCTTTGGCCTCATATCAAAGCTAAATGTCAGGGCTTTGGTTTGGCTCGATCTGTGCTCCTCGCTTTGGAGACTATTCAGCTTTGTCGTGGAGTAAAGGTACTGACAAAACTGTGCTTCGTTTTCTGGATATTGGCCCACACCGGGGCTTAGAGTGAGTGATGTAACATTTACCCAAGGGTGCATACAACACAATGGAGAAGAAAATGTGGGTGTTGTGTTTTTAAATGCTGCTTGACAGCCTTCAGTGGTTTAGTCCCTGCTTCTGTTTACAATGTAACAGAAGCACCAGCTGTCAAGCAGCACCAAGTGGTGCAGAAGGGCAGAAGGGTGCTCATGATTTTATCAATGATGGATAATAGTTGTACATTGGCCTCCGTCACAAGATGCAATCAAAGATCAGCACAGAATTCCCAGCAAGTGGTGTTGTGCATGCTTTGCACAGCTACCAGTTTAATATCTGGGAAATGTTCTGTCACATTAACGTGTGTAGGATTGCAACATTTTTTGCTCACAAGCAGTGCAGTTCCTGCTATGAAGTCCTAAAGCTAGGCACAGTCATGCTGTGGTACAGGAAGTGTGACTATAGCCAACATGTCAAAATTCACACTCTGTGGTCCCTCTGCGCTCAGCAAGTACAGCACACGTGTAGCACGTTGCCTTCATATGGAAGTAGTGGCCGATCGCACTCTATTCCCATAAGACGCGCCACAGTAAGCCAGGAGTCAGGCAAATGAAATGTGCAGCTGTTAGTGTTATAATGCCCATTTCCCTCTGTGGTGACATGATGACTTTGCAAAAGGTTTTTAGTTTGGGTTTTTTTTTTTCACCTAGTTACGCACATAGTTACTCCTGATGAAAATATTGACACAAAGTAAAGCAAAAAAAACTTTACAAGGTTTAGAGCTCTGCTCTGTTCTGTATTATCAGTTTTCTCCAGCAAGGAAACACACTTTCTAACTGCTGGTATAAAAATAAAATGTATTCATAATAAGATTTGAGTTTAAACAACAAAGACACAGAAGGTCACGTCCCAGAGGGGTGAACGTGGAGTGCAGTTGTGTTTTTTGGGAGCCAGCAGGTCCCGACAGGCTTGACGAAGAAGGCGGGAGAGAGACACTAACCCTGTTGTTAAGCTTCGACTACTTTCCTGTTGAAACACAAGGCATAGTTGGCCCTGAGGCTCAGTTTTTTTTCTACGTTTATGTTGATGGTTTATGTGCTTAAATGCCATTTTAGCTCAGAAAAGTCCTGGAGCTACAGGGTGACAGTTTAGACAAAGGAGATGATGAACACGCTCACTTGGCCTTTCCACATCGTAAGCTTTTCTCAGTTGGTCTGAGTGATGAAAGCTCCTCTGAGCTAGACTGAATTGCTGTTGCTTTGTATCGCCTTAGTGAAAAGCAGCCAAAACTGCCTCATCCCATTTAGCAACAAGGCATTTTAAGCAGAAGCGTGTCTGCCTCTGTTCACTAATCAGCCAGGCATGGTAGCCTCTGAGTGAGGTGACATTTCAATCTTTGAAACAGTCGCCCCTGGCTTTCTTTCTTTTACCCCTTTCCTCTGATTAAAAACCTGCGTTTTGTCTTTGACAGGCACTTTTGGCCGCATCTTCCACGGCGTGCTGCTGGATGAAAAGGACCCCAGTAAGGAGAAGCAGGTCTTTGTGAAGACCGTGAAAGGTATGCTCCCTGTTCCAGCTTAAGTAAACATTAGGGGTGCAACAATACACAAAATTCACGGTTCGGTTCGGTTCGATACTTTGGTGTCACGGTTTGATATTTTTTCGATACAAAAAAATGTTCTTGCCTTTTTAATTTGTCATTTATTAAATTTTCAC